TTTGAATGGGTTTAAGGTTCTGCTCTGATACTCACTAAATGTGATTTAAGAGCAACAAACAGAATAGCATGATCGGTATGTTGCTGTGAGTCTCTGTCAGGGAAAAAGATGGGTTATAAAGAAAATAACAACAACAACAACAACAATAATGAATTTTGTTACCTCCTCATTCTCTAAGACTCTTTCATCTGAAATGCCAGGCTCTCGTTTAAAATGGATACTTCCTGAATTTCCTTCCTCCTCCTGAGCTCCTGAACTCTGCCTCTGCTTGCCTAAATAACAGAGTACAGTGGTACCTCAGGTTACATACGCTTCAGGTTACATATGCTTCAGGTTACAGACTCTGCTAACCCAGAAATATTACCTCGGGTTAAGAACTTTGCTTCTGGATGAGAACAGAAATCGTGCTCGGCGGCAGCAGCAGCAGGAGGCCCCATTAGCTAAAGTGGTGCTTCAGGTTAAGAACAGCTTCAGGTTAAGAACGGACCTCCGGAACGAATTAAGTACTTAACCTGAGGTACCACTGTAAAAGCACACATTCTACTCATGTAAAAACACCAGGCAGGCCCCACAAATAACCCAAAGATGCATTTTAAATAAAAGGGCACATTCTACTCATGTAAAAACATGCGGATTTCCAGACAGTCCGTCTGGATTTAGAAGGCGATTGGGCCAGATCCGGCCCCCGGGCCTTAGTTTGCCTACCCATGGTCTAGAATGCGGTACTTGGGTTGAAAGCTATTTAGGTCAGCACACATCTGAGAGGAAGCATTGTTGAATGCAGTGTAACTTCCGAGAGTTGTCCTAAACAACACTGAGTTTGAATTTAACCATTGCTCGAGTCAAAAGAGATAACCTCTGAATAAACATTTTTAGGATAGGCAGAGTACAACTCCAGAAAAAACTAATTTAGGGGAGCAAAGGAGGGTCATTGTCCACTATTAGGGTAGCAACTTTTAAATTAGGGCAGCCAGGTAAAAAAGAGGATAACACATGTACAGGACAGAAGGACATCACCACCTCATCCGAGCCCCCTCTAGCGTAGCAGACCTGGGATTTGGATTGTGCCTTACCAAACCAGTCACTTTTCTCTCAGTTACTCCAGTTACTCCCAAGTGCATAATAAGCACCGTATTTTTCCATGTATAAGACTAGGTTTCTTAACCAAAAAATTAGGTTTAAAATTGGGGCTCGTTTATACACAGGTAGTGCTGAGGGATGTTTTCTTAATTTGGAGTATCCCAAATTAGGGGGCGTCTTATACATCGGGGCGTCTTATACACGGAAAAATACAGTAGTTATTTATGCTCCATTACTCCAGCTGCCTTATTTTACTTTGTTTTGCTTATGCGATCATGTCCCTTATACAAACAGTGCATTTTCTTAATGTTATGCTGAGTGGGACAGTAATGCATTGGGCTACAGGCCTGCATGCCTCTTTACCAACATATATATGATTATAATGTGACATAGGCAGTCCTTTGTAAAATTTTACTTATACTGTAGATCATTCAGACCAGTCTCCTTGTGCCAAAGTTCTGCTGTCTATATGAAAACAAATGTCTTTTTATGGTAGGTTTCAGTTCAGTGCTAAATTTTCTCCAAAACTTCACACAATTTTTTTTAAGTACTCAGAAATTATTACTACTAAGAAAGGTTATATGTACAGTTGATATATTAATAAACTTGCTCATATTAGGAATAATCTCCTCCTCCTATATCATTTCGTTTTCTTCAACCTGTAGGTGGAATACTTAACAGATTCTCAAAGGATATAGCAATATTGGATGACCTACTACCACTTACAATATTTGACTTCATCCAGGTTTGTGAAAATAAATATATATTTTGCAGAGTGGCTGACAGTGGTTTGTTTTCTGGTTTTCTGGCCATCACTTACGAAGATCAGAAAATAAAAAGAGACTAATAATAAGAAGCAACAAGAATAAATGAATGCTCATAATGTTTGTGTACATAAAGCTTCTTTTCAATGTTTTGCCACCCAATCTGTGCCTTTATGACTCTTCTTTCTCCCATTTATGTTTCTCTGCTCTTTCCTTCTTGTGCATGGAGGCTCTTAGCTCAGCTGCTTCCTCCTTCCTCCTCCTGGCTTCCTTGTTGGCATCTCAAGAGACAATGGAGTGCGTCTCTGGGGGTGAAGTCAAACCGCTGTTTAGCAAAACCAATGTGACCTTCCTGGGGTGCAAGCCTGGGCAGTGTGTATGGAAGTCTTGGACTGCCCAGACGACAATACTCCCCTCTTGGCTTCACTGATGGGGTCCAAAGAAAGCAGAGCAAGACGTTTAGCACCAGCTTGGCTGGAGGAGTTACCAGAAGAAGGTGTACAAGGCCTTCTGATGATGCCAAGGTTGCAGGTCCGATCCCCGTATGAAACAGCTGCATATTCCTGCATTTCAGGGGGTTGGACTAGATGATCCACAGTGTCCCTTCCAAATCTATAACCCTACAATTCTGTGATATGTGTGTGCATGCACACCCAGAGAGAGACTTGGTTGAAAAATCCAATTAAACTGAGTGGTGGCAAATTCAGGATAGACCAAATAAAATCCTTATTTACATAATACGTAATCAGTGTGCAGGGTTTATCTGACCCGAGATGTGGCAATGACCAGTACATCAGATGGCCTTAAAAGGGGAATTCTGTGACAGTCGTGATAGCTATATGCAATCTATGCCACTGAACAGCAGTTGTTGGGGCAACAGGGAGGGAGGACCTTACTGTACAGGTAGTGGGCTTCCTAGAAGCATCTGTTTGTACTCAGGATGGTAGATTAGATGGTTTGATTCAGTAGGGTTCTTCCCATGTTCATGAAGATGCATATTTTAGCTGAATCAAATATTCCTTTCTTAAAATTCTTAGTTAAAACTGTGATGACCATTCAACCCTGCATTATGATTTCCATACTCTTTCTCCTCCTTCTTCACTGCCTAGCTAGCTTAACATAGTTCATAAAATAATAACCAGCCAGGAACGCTTCACATGACAATAATGGATATTGAGCTATCCAATATATGGATAGGACATACATTTTTTTTACAGATTTTTGTTCCACAATGGCTTTATTTTCATAAACCAGCCACCTAGAAAAAACTGGTGTTAAACAAAAAAATCATATATTAATTTGGAATTTGCAAAAGTAATGCTAAACCCTATGACTTTGACAGGTGAGTCCGTTTCCTCCCAAGGCATAAAATGCAAGTTCTATTTCCATGGCTTGTCAAGCTTTTGGCCTCCAAATTGCAGCATTTCAGGAGATACAATGTGTGGTTGAGGCTGATCCATTTCATAAATGGAAGAGCTTCCAGTCACCCAACGTTGGTGACCATGTTAAGATTTCCCAGTAAACCAACTTGGTGATAAACATTAGCAGATGGTGTGTTGGGTCTGACCTCTGTGTGGCTGAGTCACTGCAGCTTACCAGCAACAGAGGGGTCCAGTGGTGGTGGTGGTGAGGTTGGCGTGGTGCAAACACAATGGCAGAGCCATTCTGGCATTCCTGCCATCATGTTTGCACTACACCACACTGTCACGACATTCCTTATTCTCTCTATCCTGGGGTTCTGCGGTGGCTGAAGTGGATCGAGGTCAGGTGAGCAGTGCAGGCCCACCATGCCATCCGCTGTTGGTGATAAAACTTGAAACTTTCAAGTAATCATTGAATTACTCACTGTGATGGATCCACAGTAAATATCAACTCCTTACTTGGAGGTTTTTAAGTACAGGTTGGATGGGCATCTGTCATGGATGCTTTAGCTGGGATTCCTGCCAATTCAGGGGGTTGGACAATGACCGTTGGGGTCCCTTCCAATTCTACAGTCCTATGATTCCATGTTAGCTTTAGCTTTATTAGAATCATTTCTGCCTTTTTTGACCAAGTTGTAATAAGATATCAAGTCCTTTGCTGATGAGCCTTGAGGCAGTTTTTTCTCTTCAATTATTACCATTATTATTAATAATAATGATTAATTTCCTATACTGCCCTTCATCTGAGGATCACAGAACGATTTACAATATAAAAACACAGAAATACATACCATAGTAACAAACAAAAATAATAGCCCCCCATTGTTTAAAGGGCCATAGATTGTTTAATTAGACAAAGAGAAGAGGAGTGTTTTTGCCTGAAGGTATGTAATGGCAGTGACAGGCAAGCTTCCCTAATGAGAGTATTCCACAAGTGGGGAGCTACCTCAGAGAAGGCCCGTTCTCATGTTGCTGCTCTCTGGACCTCTCATGGAGGAGGCACACAAAGGAGGGCCTCAGATGATTGTCTGTGATTACCCTGAGTAATGTTCTGATGTTATGTGTTCCTGATAAAGACAAATATCCATGGTGTGACGCAGAATAAATAGTTCCACCAGAAAGCAAAATCCATGATTCATAAAGGACAATCTAGAGCCTTGTTCATGATAATATTATGCAAAAAAGATATGCATTTTGCATCGTCATAGAACAATTTTCATATTTATATCCATGAATTGACAATGTTCCATGAAAATTGTACGAAAGAATCTGCATCTTATTTTGATAATTGTACAGGTGTGCATTTGAAAAACACTGTGATGTCTTCCAGACCACTGTTAAATGAGTGCTTGATTTAGCAAATCATGAAACCACTTATTAATTTCCAAGACCTTTAGCTCCAAATACTATCAGTTTCTTTTTGTTCTCAGATGCAAACCCTTGTTGGGAAGACACTGCTGGGATGTTTGAAATATATATGCTAATACCTCCTCTGGGGAAATTAAATCACCAATTTGGAATTTGTAACGTAGAGGGGACGTTTACTGTGTCAATAGCATTTTTCTTTCATCCTGCAGTTAATGCTCATTGTGATTGGTGCTATAGCAGTAGTATCAGTCATACAACCCTACATCTTCCTGGCATCTGTGCCTGTGATAGGAGCCTTTGTTATGTTAAGAGCATACTTCCTGCACACTTCTCAGCAGCTGAAACAACTGGAATCTGAAGGTATGGCTGGCAAAAATTGGTAGATTCCTAAAAGATACAAAAATAAACTGAATAGAGATTTACCATTTCACTTTTCCTCCAGCTCCCTCTAATTTCCCAATGCAAAATTCCAAAGTCTGTGGACAGAATGCACCCCTGTAAAGACATTCAGTGAAAGCTCAGGAGCAGACAATAAAGTGTTCTGCTTTGCAGAGGGGGAAATGTTATGAGCATAACTGCAGCACAACAGAGTGTTACGAGATTTGGCATATGGAATGGATATGTATCGAGAGACAACTTACTTTTTATTAGGGAGGCAAGCTGGTTAGGAACATTCAACAGCCTTACCATTTTAGTAAATCCAGAATTCCTTAAATGTGTCCATTTGGTAGAGTTTGGATTTATTCATAATTTGTGCATTGTTATTGGTAGGGTTTTGCTGCTCCTTACTATTGTGACCTAAGTCCAGTGCCTTTGAGATGTCTTATGCATCTCAAAAAGCAGCGTGTAGCATGGAGATGGGAAGTTGTTGCTCTGCCGATCTTTCTGAGCTACCATTTTCATAATCTTTTAAGTCTAACAACTTCTAGAGAGCCATAGGTACCCCAACCCTGCCCTAGTAGGAGAACTGTGCCTAGAGAGGCAGATTCTGAAGGGCAAAGGTTTTTCTTGAAGCCTGGGGACATATCTGTGTATAAGAGGCTATCCTGCAGGAAAAAGAAGAGCCTGTCTTTGTGCTGAGCAGTTGACAAATAAGACATCTGTTGTTTCATAAAGGGGGTCACTTTCCTTTATGGAAAATAAACTGTTGGAGAGGTTAACTCTACATAACACTAGCTTACTATTTTTCTTGCATAGAAGCAAACTTTGAAGGATGCTTCTAAAAGCTTTGGAGATTAAAACGGATCAGTTGAGCTCCTTGAATTTGGTTTCAAGAAACTCACTTTTACTCACGGCAGCCAAAATCACGTGGTCAGCATTTAAGCCCGTTGACCCAACTGGGCCTTTAAAGGGCACAGGGCTAGGTGAAAGATGACAAATGGCACCAAGATACTAGGAACCCTTGAAGAATAAGCAAATTAGATATGCAGATTTTATTTTGTTTGACGTGCAGCCACACAACATGTAGCACATATACAGCCTGATATCAAAGAATGGAGAGTAGATATTCGCAATCTGTGAAATGCTGTTCTGAATGTTCTTTGACATGATGTAGTGCTATAAAAGAAGGCAAGAATATGCCTAATGGAAAATGTATTTGTTATCTTTGTGTTGTTGTTGTTTTTAAAAAGATCCAGTTCATTTCTGGAAAGTACTAAACTCTTATTATTTTCAATTTGCATTGTTTATAGCAAGAAGTCCAATTTTCACACATCTTGTTACAAGCTTAAAGGGGCTTTGGACACTCAGAGCTTTCGGACGACAACCTTATTTCGAGACGTTATTTCATAAAGCCCTGAACTTGCACACAGCGAACTGGTTCCTTTATCTGTCTACATTACGTTGGTTCCAGATGAGGATAGAAATGATTTTTGTTGTCTTCTTCACTATTGTGACCTTTGTTTCTATTCTAACTACAGGTACGTAGCTTTGCTTTCTATACTAAAATGAGGTTAAAAAAGAAGAAGTTTTGCTGCATATTCAGACCTTAACTAGGTTGCATCCAGTACTTCTTCCAGTCTCCATAATACTGTCCACATAACCTAAAGGCCTTTTAACATCTGATGTGCCGGGTTCAAGAGACAGAAGTGGGCTTGACCAATGGAAGTGGTTTTTACCTTTGTACAGCAGGCCACATTCCAGCCGTACGAAATTATTTTTCTACACTTCTCCATGTCCACCCATGCAAGCAAGAGGCGTTATCGCAGTTCAGGGTCACATTCGCAAAAGAATTAGAAAGTGGTGTGGAGCAGAGCCAGTGAGTTGTGTGCCTTGGGAAGAGACAAAGCTTGGAAAGAACCCTGAACTCCAGACAGAACATTAGGCTCCTCGGTCTGAGTTTCCACAGCCTTGGTCCACAGCCATTGCCCACAGACAGCTAAAGTAGGTCGGCATCTGTGCTAGGGATGCTCAAGGAAACTGGGATGGTCTTCATTCCAAAGTGAACTTGCCAAATTTGTCATCCACCAATTAATGTGCAGGTTGGACGAGGTTTACTTCAGGATTCAAACTCCATCTGAATTCCATAAGGTCATTCAAGGGCTGCCTTTCCTTTCATTTCCTTATACAGTGGTACCTTGGTAGTCAAACGGCTTGGCTCCCGAACACCGCAAAGCTGGAAGCGAGTGTTCCGGTTTGCAAATGTTTTTTTGGAAGCCAAACGTCCAATGCGGCTTCCAATTGAGTGCAGGAAGTTCCTGCAGCCAGTTGGAAACTGCGCCTTGGTTTTTGAACCGTTTTGGGAGTCGAACAGACTCCCAGAACAGATTTAAGTTCGACAAGCAAGGTACCACTTTAAATTCCAACAGCTTGGAACTGCTGGAAAGCCAGATGACCTGCAGACAGGGCTGCAAAAGCCCCTGGAAGGTCTGGATGTGATGTTGCGTAATCCCTCCCTCAGCTTTATTTAAGAGGGAGGCGAGGGAAGCTTTCCATATATATATATATTTTAATATAAATTTTTATTCAAAGTTTTCAGCATACATAGAAAAAGAAAAAAGAATTAAAAAAACAGACAATGAAATACACATACAGAAAATATAAAATAAAACAACAATATAACATCCTAATCTGAATCTTACTTTCTTTACTATTTGGACTTCCTCACATCTTTCGTTCCTGCTTTCCAAATTTGGTAATTTCTAAACAGCAATTATCACCTTGTTTCATATACTTATTTGTATTTTCCAATTATTATGTTTCCCATTTTGAATTTATCTCCCAAAAATTTAGATCTAATGTTAAAATCTTAATTTAGATCTAATGTTATTCAAAAGTTAACTTTAACTCAAATTCATTATACTCTCAGACTCTTTTTAACTGATTTACTGAAGCCAGACTTTCCATATAAATTCCAAAGGAGGGACACCATGCCATCATGTCATATCCTCCCAGGAGCTTCGCAGCTAATTTGTAATGCATTCACCTTTCTAGAGGTCTTTCTTTTTAAAAAAGTGCATACAGTGGTACCCTCGGGTTACAGACGCTTCAGGTTACAGACGCTTCAGGTTACAGACTCCGCTACGCAGAAATAGTTAAGAACTTTGCTTCAGGATAATAACAGAAATTGTGTGGCAGCGGCGCAGTGGCAGCGGAGGCCCCATTAGCTAAAGGGTACCTCAGGTTAAGAACAGTTTCAGGTTAAGAACGGACCTCCAGAACGAATTAAGTTCTTAGCCCGAGGTATCACTGTACTGTACTTAAAAAAATAACGTCCTGAGATCTGGAACAGACTATCTATCTACTGGTCGCATGTGCAGTTGTTGTGAACCAAATTTAGACTGGTTCATCCATCCCTTATCAGTGCCTCATACTATATTATAGTGCATTTTGGCTCAGCTTGTCCTCCTTACGGTACTAATCTCTGTGCATTTCTCACCTTTTGTATTTGGGCATGGATCTATTATTGCATCACTTATGTAACTGCCCCTCTACATATAGGTTTTAAAAATGTGTCTTTGTACTTGCAGGTAACGGGGAAGGAACAGTTGGCATTATTCTTACACTAGCCATGAATATTATGGGAACCTTGCAGTGGGCCGTGAACTCAAGTATAGATGTAGACAGTCTGGTAAGAACCATGAGAATTAATTGAAAATGAGATTTCATTTTGATTTTTACATGCTCATAAAATGTATTATTTTGGCTGTAGAGTGTACAGTTATAAATATGCTTGCACTTGTAAATATTTGCTAATAATTCACCCATAATTCAGTTATCATTGGGTATATTTCTTCTTGGGCTGTCAAGCTCTTTCAATGACTCTCTATTATTTTCTCTCTCTTTTTGTTATGGCAAACATTTACCTAACCCTTCTTTTTTTTGTCAGTTTAGTACACACTTTCCATTGTTCAGCCCTCATAATTTTGGCTTCAGCCAACACTCTTGCTGTTTGTTTATTTTATGTTTCCCCTTATCTCCTTCAGAAATCTTTATAACATTACAGCTGCGTATTTTGCAGATCTGTATTGCATAATGATCTGTGGGTAAAAGCCTCAGCGCCTAGGGCTTGCCGATCGAAAGGTCGGCGGTTCGAATCCCCGCGGCGGGGTGCGCTCCCGTTGTTCAGTCCCACCTCCTGCCAACCTAGCAGTTCGAAAGCACCCCGGGTGCAAGTAGATAAATAGGGACCGCTTACTAGCGGGAAGGTAAACGGTGTTTTCTGGCTCGCCAGAGCAGCGATGTCACGCTGGCCACGTGACCCGGAAGTGTCTCCGGACAGCGCTGGCCCCCGGCCTCTTGAGTGAGATGGGCGCACAACCCTAGAGTCTGTCAAGACTGGCCCGTACGGGCAGGGGTACCTTTACCTTTGTTCTATTTCATAGCTTTGCCCCAGTAATTCTGATGACAACATTTTTTCCACTGTTACTCTCTTCCCCACCTACCACCCCTTTCCAAGCATCTGTTACATTAGCATTTTCTTCCTTTCCGTGTTTTTCAAATTGCCCCCCTAGCATTGCAATTGCTACTTGCTTCTGGCACTCCTAGATTGCATGCCAGCAGGGAGACTTCTCAAATTGCAGACTCGAATGGTGTTCAGAAAGAGGACTATCCCATTGGCTGAAGGGTACTGAATATTAATACGGAACACTAAATATTAATTTCAGGAAAAATCTACTAGAAGTGCAGAATATGCTACAGCCTTTGTCGTCAAATTACCCCACTGTTGCTGTCTATCTCATTTAATGGTGTTGGCCATTCACAGATCTACATAGCTTCTGGGGAGGAAAAAAGGAATTAATTATTTCCCCCACGAACATTTTCATTTGGATTTTTGCTTCCAAATTCCATGAGCTCATGAGGAAGTATCTAAATGCCCTGTGAAATCTTATGCATGTCTTTTTTACATAGGACATCTTCTGGGCCTCTGCAGTTAATTGCTCAAATGATATTTTCATGTGTGATGATTAGTCCTTACAAAGAATTCGTTAAAAGTGCTGCATAATTTCAAGCAAGAATAAAGAAAAAATTGCATAAAATGTGGGCTATATTGGATTCCTCATCAATTACAAAATGTTAGGCTGATGAACTGGAAATATAGCATTGCAGTGAAAAACTGTTGATGCAAAATTTGTTGCAAAGGATTTGGAGCTAGGCAGATGTTTCCATGCCACAGAGATATACATATGTTGTGTACATTGTCTTTGTACTTTTAAAGTTATAATTATTCCCTCAATTAAAAAAACACCACACCACTCATTCAAATCTGCTGCCCATTCCTCTCGCTTGGTCTCAGCTGACCTCTGCTAAATCAATGACCTTTCTCCATCAGTTTTTAAGGGCAGTTTTGGTGTGCATACTTTTGCTTTGGGACATTGCTTCCCCCCTCTGCATCATCACACAAGGAGTTACATATGCAGAGCAGGACTCCACTAAACACCACTTAAGAGAATAGCACAAGAAATAACACAGATGAGAAACTCCTGTCCCCAAAGGTACATATTGTTGTTGTTTAGTCGTGTCCGACTCTTCGTGACCCCATGGACCAGAGCACACCAGGCACTCCTGTCTTCCACTGCCTCCCACAGTTTGGTCAAACTCATGCTGGTAGCTTCGAGAACACTGTCCAACCATCTCGTCCTCTGTCGTCCCCTTCTCCTTGTGCCCTCCATCTTTCCCAACATCAGGGTCTTTTCCAGGGAGTCTTGTCTTCTCATGAGGTGGCCAAAGTATTGGAGATTCAGCTTCAGGATCTGTTCTTCCAGTGAGCACTCAGGGCCGATTTCCTTCAGAATGGATAGGTTTGATCTTCTTGAAGTGCATGGGACTCTCAAGAGTCTCCTCCAGCACCATAATTCAAAAGCATCACTTCTTTGGCGATCAGCCTTCTTTATGGTCCAGCTCTCACTTCCACACATCACTACTGGGAAAACCATGGCTTTAACTATACGGACCTTTGTCGGCAAGGTGGTGTGTCTGCTTTTTAAGAGGCTGTCTAGGTTTATCATCGCTTTTCTCCCAAGGTACATATACAAACTAGATTATCTTTTCCCTTATAATTCTGTAAGTGAGATAACTCTGACAGAAGCCTGAGGCTTACTGAAGTTTATTCTTTTCATAATAAACTGGTTTTGCATGATAGACCAGTGACTTTAATTGCTTACTTTAGAAATGTGTTTGCAAATGCATTTCTGCTATTATTTGTCATATTTTATATCATGCCTTTGCTGTTTGGATATTGGATGAACATGGATCTTGCTTCAGCTTTCTTTTCTTTTCAGCAGTAATGTTACTGTTCTCCCCTGTGACTTCAGATGTGTCTCTTTCAGGGGGGAAACAAAACACTTTCTTGAACTCCTTTCCCTTTTAAATTCGATTCACATTAGTTATTTCTTGCCACTCCCCTAGCTCCATTAAATCAGCTTTTTTTTTTTTTTAATAGAAAGGGAACAAGGCTTCTTCCCTTTCTTGCCTTCTTCAGAGTCACAATTTCAGTCATCACATGATTGGTTTTGTCCCGGCTACATTCTATCTTTTCATTTACCAGTTAGTGGTAGTTAATGAGCAGCTCATTTATTTGAATGAAGTTTTTCTTTTATTCTTTTTGCTTGCAACAACTCAGTAGTAGTATGAGCAACATATGGATAACCGAGTGGCCTTTCTTTGAACTTTTTGACCAAAGTAAATGAATCAAAAGTGCCAATCAGGACTTAGGAACAGTGTTTTCCGAAGTCTGACGGCATGACAGCCACACAAGCAGAAAAACAACCAGTTAACCGCAAAGACTTGCAGTACTTTCCCACCATTAACGCACAAAGATTCTTTATCATGAAGTTTGCTTTCCCATGGTGAACAAGTCCCATTGTTGTCCTAAGAGCTGAAAGGTCAGGATAAACTAATAACTGTCTTTCAGAAACTCTTTTTAAGAATAGCCCTACTAAAGAATTAACTGTGGCAGAAGCAGGCTACCACTGCTCATCTTAACACTATCACATACAATTAATAGGGAATATATATATATATATATATATATATATATATATATATATAAAAGTGTCAGAGAACCAAGTACTTTGTCCTCACAATTTATACACTACAAAGTAAAGATTAATTTGTTGACATCAAACTCAGTAGGGTGAAGTTTGTCTGCTTCTGTGCCAAGCTATGCGTGGAAAAAAAAAGATGTTTCAGAAAATGACTTCAGTGGTTCTTGTTCTGGTTTTCAGATGCGGTCAGTGAGCCGAGTATTTAAGTTTATTGATATGCCAACAGAAGAATCCAAAACTGCACCGTCTTTGAAAAATGGAGAGCTTTCACGCACCCTCATAATTGAGAATAGGCATGCAAAGGAAAAGACTGTCTGGCCATCTGGCGGGCAAATGACAGTGAAGAATCTCACGGCCAAGTACATAGATGGAGGACTGGCCATACTCGAAAATATTTCCTTTTCAATAAGTCCAGGACAAAGGGTAAGAATGTTTTCAATTAAACTAATTTCAGTTAATCCGCTGTCAAGCAAGTGCCACCACTATTCCTAAAAGAAAAGTAATACTTGATTACTAACCTGAAGCACGTCACAATAAATATTCAAGTTATTTTAATATGCAGTAAATCATGTAGGAACATTTCACAGTAATTATTCACATTATTTTAATATGCAGTGAGTTGTGCAGGAACAGAGGGAAAGCCCATTTGTTGGGTATTTGGAAAAGGAACCCACAGTTTCTAGAAATGCTGAGCATAGAAAGAGCACAGAGTTAATGAGAATTTGCTGTAAAAACATGGAGGATGGGTAAAATATCCAGAAAATAAATTTTATTTCCTATTTCGGTACATTTACCTGCTTTCACTGTCTCTTTGTTTCGCTGCTTGTCTGGTGGGAAGGCTTGCTAATAAATATGTAAGTTTGTACACAGAAAAGAAAAATATAGGGTAGTGTGCTAGTAACACAATATCAAATTGAAATTGAAAACATTGTGGGTGAGATACAACATCACACCTGCAGATACAATGGGGTTCTCTTGCCTGCCCTCCCCCCTGCTGTCCCTCAACCCTCTATAGCATATTTGGGGGCATACAGGGACTGTTTGTGTAAGCAGAAGTCTGAGTGAGACACCCCTACTGGATATTCTCCTATGACACTATTAATAATAATAATAATAGTAATAGTAATAGTAATTTTTATTTATACCCTGCCCTCCCCAGCCAAGACCGGGCTCAGGGCGGCTAACAACCAATAATAAAAACAAGTTGATTAAAACACAATTTAAAAAACAAGATTAAAATACAACATTAAAACATTACGATGCAGCCTCTTCACAGGAGGAGAAAGGAAAAAGAAAGAGGGGGAGGGAATCAAACTGATTCCAAGCCAAAGGCCAGGCGGAACAACTCTGTCTTACAGGCCCTGCGGAAAGAAATCAGATCCCACAGGGCCCTGGTCTCATGAGACAGAGCGTTCCACCAGGTCGGAGCCAGTGTTGAAAAGGCCCTGGCTCTGGTTGAGGCTAATCTAACTTCCTTAGGGCCCGGGACCTCTAGGGTGTTGCTATTTATGGACCTTAAAGTCCTCTGTGGGGCATACCGGGAGAGGCGGTCCCGTAGGTATGAGGGTCCTAGGCCGTGAAGGGCTTTAAAGGTCAAAACCAGCACCTTAATCTGACCCTGTACTCAGTGCAGAATGATTTTATTGGACATCAATAACTTATATAAAACATCGTTTAGATAGATAAAGCTCCTGGCTGGCACTTTGGTGCCAGAATACACAAATATTTGCAGAAATGAGTTTCCAAAAATTAAATAAAAATAAATGAGTTTCCAGTTTTGGTTGGAAGCAGGCAGGTTTTCCCAGCCGGAACTCACCAGAGCTCAGTTCTCGGCACCTCTCAGGTGGGTGCACCATTGCCATTATAAAGAAAAAGGGAAGGGGTTCATGGTGAGTTCCGGCTCTTCTTTCTCTGGTAAAATAGCACTGGTCTGAACTATGAACTATGAATGAACTGTGGTTCATATGACTGGACGTTTGCCCAATTTTGATGTCAAGGGGAAGGTAGCAAAACTAGGGCAAAAATATGTTCTTGTTATAAGGACAGATTCTACCATATCATCAGAAGCTGTGCACATTCCTGCTGTTACATTAATATTTATGGTTTCAAGCCCATCTCAACACAAAACATTCTTCTCTGAACTGCTCTTCTGTTAATTTCTAGCACGCAAATGATTAATTTATGAGAGCGGTTTCTTCATTAATTTATGTTTATAAATATTGCAGGTGGGTCTTTTAGGAAGAACTGGCTCAGGGAAAAGTACACTGCTCTTTGCTTTTTTAAGACTCTTGACCACAGAAGGAGATATTCAAATTGATGATGTCTCCTGGAACACCGTCTCTGTGCAGCAGTGGAGAAAAGCGTTTGGAGTAATACCTCAGGTAAATTTACACTAGCCTGTAAAATAAGTTTTTAC